TGGGCAGAAAATGGGTTGAGAGCAGCCCTGAAGAAAAGGACTGCTTTTCAGTTGATGAGAAGCTTGACATGAGCTGTCAATGTGCACTTGCAGCCCAGTAAACCAACCATATTCAAAAGAAGCACAAACAGATGGCTGAAGGAGGTAATTCTTCACTTTTACTCCACTCTCATGAGACCCCACCTGGAGTACTGTGTCCAGTTCTGGGACTTCCAACACAAGAAGGACTTAGAGCTGTTGGAGAGAGCCCAGAGGAGCACCATGAAGATGATTCAAGGGCTGGAGCACTTCTCCTATGAAGACAGGCTGAGAGAGTTGGGGGTTTTCAGCCTGGAGAAGAGAAGGCTCCAAGGAAGCCTTATAGCAGCCTTCCAGTACCTGAAAGGGCTATAGGAAACCTGGGGAGGGAATTTTACAAGGGCATATAATGACAGGATGAGGGATAATGGTTGTAAACTGTAAAGAGGAGAGATTTAAATTAGGTATTAGGATGAAATTATTTAGTGCAAAAGTGGTGAGGCACTGGAATAAGTTGCCCAGAGGACCTGTGGATGCCCCCTCCCTGGAAGTGTTCAAGGCCAGATTGGATGGGGCTTTAAGCAACCTGGTCTAGTGGAAGGTCTCCCTGCCCATACAGGGGGGGGTTGGAACTAAGTGATCTTTAAGTTCCCTTCCAATCCAAACCATTCTATGATTCACCAATACCATTATTAGTAACTCTCCAGAAGTCTGACACCTGACACTGCTGACCTAAGGCTCTGTCCCTACTAAATATAGCTTATTCCATAGGGAGTGGAATAGCTACAAAAGGAATCTATTTAGTATCAGTACTTCCTAATTTCTTCTCAATATTCTTTTAGGAGATGTACAAAAAAAAAGCTTTGAGATCAGTATCTTCCTGAAAAATTGCATTGAAAAAAGACAACTTTGGCCAGGGCAAACCAAACAGTTCTTGCGTATTTTAGGCAAAAATCAAGCAACAATAGCTGAAGGCATGTTACACACCTCTGGGTGCACAGCCTTCACATCTCCTTCAAAGGAGACTTTTTTCACTCTTCTGCATGGAAAGTATAACACAAGTTACACATGCTGGATCCATAATCCCTTTCTTCTCAGCACTGAAGCCTCACATTCCACCCTAGATCATGTCATGACAAGTCCAGCTGTGCCAAGAGAAATCAGGCCTAAGGAAGTATATAGTGAAACATCACAAATGTGTATTATACCAAGTCTGTTCCTTTTAAAGAACATTGCATTTTATGGTTTCCTGATAGATCTCCTTTTCTGGTAGAGGTCACCAGCTTTACTGAAACAGATTTCTCTTCTACTTGGAATATGCAAAGCATAACACTGGAAGGCAACATTACCTTTCAGACAGACTAAGAAAAAGGGAAAAAGCAAATTAAGAGAACAACCCAGAAGAGGTCACCCTGACTACACTTCAAAGACTACTCACCTTCAGAAAGCAAACTCAAAACATGGAAGTCAGCAGAGTACACCACAAGCACTAGTGGAGGTCCTGAGAACAGATTCCTTTGTTCTGCTGATAGGTTCCCCTTTACATTGCTTCAATACCACCTTTGATTCCAAGCCCTGATCTTACCCCCCAATTTTCTGCAACGAATTACTTCCACTCTTTACCAGTGTAGGGTTTTTTTCTTAGGTAAAGAATAAAAACCAACTTCAACTCCCAAAGATTAAAGCATTCCTTCCTCTCCACACAGCTGAAGTTCCATCCCAGCTTTAAACCAAAGAATTACACAATATGAGCAGTAAAAGAGTCTCTCACAGCATTTAATTCAGTCGTAAAATGGATGGCAAAAAGCTAAATAGCAAGACAGAATCCAGTAGTTCCAGGTCCTTTACCTCTCACCAACTGAATTCGCAAATCCAGGGTATAGGAAAAATTCAAACGGCTAAAGCTAAAGACCACTAGTGCCATCTGGAGGCCATACAGAACAGCCCACCTGAAGTTTTCTGTCAACCTCTGCTCACACTCGAGTACTGTCCTCTTTAAAACAGCTTGCCAGCACTCTCTGCACAAACATACAAACTCTAAAGTCAAGTTTAACACTAATTAAATATATTGGTTGGAATACATTCATACCTAACATATGAAAGCATTCACCTACAAGTGTTTCTAGAAGCCTTTAGTTGTAGCTGACACTACAGCTGAAATTGCTCAGTGGGGAGTTGAATCTCAGTAACAGAACTAGAGTTACCCTCCAGAGTCAGGACTGTCTTTGGGCAAGAGGTAAAATCTCATTCATGCCAGTCACACGGTTGTGCTGGTTCAGCTGACCATAATACAGAACAGCATTAAGATACCTAGTGCTATAGTTAGTCTCCATATACCAACTACCTCTCTGAGAGAGCTGTAAAATGAGATGTAATCTGAAGGATAACTACCATTAGCAATGCTGTGGTGTCCCATACACATACATTCTACTTGCCATACAGGTGGACATGTGATTTGCAAATATTACTGCCACATGGGATCTTACCAAGATGGAGAGTCCAGAACTGTTGAGACCAATGTTTCTGAATGGATACCCAGAAAGAAACTTACTTGCTCACTCTTTAAAGCTCTAGAGATTAGTATTTTGAACATCAAAAGGACAAAGAAATTCAGTGAGCCAGCAACTAAGTTATCAGGTAGGGACACTGGCTCACAAACTCAAATAAATTAATTGTCTCAAGAAAACTTTTACCTAGGATAGCCTGGGTGATCTATAGTCTTGCTACTTGTAGGACCTCCTGGACTAATCTTCCATTAAGGTATTTCCAGGCACATGAAGGATAAAATACTTATTTGGAGCAGCAAGCACCATTTTTCCAAGAGCAAATCAGATCTGATGCCTATTGATTACTTCTAGGATGACACGAATGGTTCTGGGGACAAAGAGAGAGCAGAGGATGGCATGGCTCAGACCTGAGCACTCAAATGACCCCTGTAAAGCTAGGGGAATGGGCTAACAGAACCCTCATGAACTTTTGCAAAAGCAAATACCTAAGTCTTGCACCTGAGAGGAACAACCATATAAAGCAGCTGTGCAGAACAGACAAGTAGTGCTGGTGGACAACAAGCTGACCACGAATTAGCACACTTTGCGCCTTTGCAACAAAGAAGGCTAACTACATGCTGGGCTGTATTAACAGAAGTATAACCAGTAATTTGAGGGAAATAATTACCAGCTTTTACTTGTGAATGCTTAGCAAGCACTGGACACACATCTGGAATGTAGTGTCCAGTTATGAGCTCCGCAAGAGAAGCAGAAGTACTGACTGAGTGGTGGAAGTCTGGCAGAGAGCTATTAAAATGGGCTGAAAAACACATTGTACAAGGAGAAACGGGTTGTTTAGCTTGCAGATAAAAAGGCTAAGAATAGATCTAACTGCTGTGTTTAAATCCTTGCTGCATGGCTGTAAGGACAGAGCCAGACTTTTCTCAAAGGTGCACATCAGGACAAGAGGCAACGGTCAAACTGCAACAAGGGAAATTGTTAAGATATAAAAAACACATGCATTCACAGTGAGAATGACGAAACATTGGAACAGGCTGTCAGGAAAGACTGTGGAATTTCCATTCTGAAAAATATTGAAACTTGATGGTGTAAGGCCCTAGAGCACCTACCCAAACTTTGAAGAAGGTCTTGTCTTGAGAAGAAGGTTGGTCTAAAAATCTCCAGGCTTCCCCTCTCACTTAAATAATCTGATGATTCTGTCTTAAGGGATTCACTAGAACTGTCTGGCCAGTGTATTTCAGTCAAAAGAACATATTTGTTTCCTTCCTCATTTCCTTCCCTAAGCCTTTAAAATTACTAGAATTGTTAAAACAAAACAAAACAAGCATACACATTGTCACATACACATCCCCCCCCCAGCAAAAAATGTTACTCTACTGTCAGGGACAAAAATGCTATCTATCATGGAATTGGCACACTGACCCAGATGAGCTACTCCTTCCTGCCCTGCTTTAGGGAAACAATATGTTCACGGTACCTTCACTGACAGAGACAACATCACAACACACCAGAAGGGGATCTGTTCAATTTAAAAGAGGATATTTATCGTGACATCATTAATAATATATCCTTTTGGATTCAGTATCTGCTTTGTGTAAAGATAAGCTGGATTCACTATCTGCTTGAGTCATGCAGGCTTGAACACCAGAGATATTCTCTCTGGGTATGTCAGATGTGCCTACAAGACAGATGCAGCGTTGCTTAAAACTGTTGCAGAAGAAAGAACCATCCTATGATCCTCTCTTCCTAAACACTACTGCAGTTAAGTTTCTGGACTGTTGGAAAGTCAGAGGGGTGATTATTTCAAATGTTAGTTTCTACAGGCATGTATTTTGCTAAACTTCTGTGATTAAAAGAAATGGATATTTTTGGTAGATAAGTGCTCCTCTTGGGAATCCTCAGTATCTTTCATGACTTACATGCAAATAAAATTTATGTCTTGCAGGATAAGAACACTGAACTAGTCTCAATCCACTTACTCAATACTGTAGAAAACAAAAATACTTAAAATTTAGAAGAGCAGTTCAAAGCATGAAAACAAAGGCAAATACACCCAACAACACATCTCCAGCTGATTTTGTCTTTAGGATTAAACCAAAATTGAGAAAGTTTAGATTCCTTTCACCTTGAAGGACAGAGGAGCACAAAGGGACTGAGGGTCCGAAGAGGTTTCAAGAAGAACCCAGCCTTGAGAATGACCACACACGAGGGGGTGTGTGGCCACTCAACCCTTAAAGAGTCAAACACTTGTTTTATTTATTACATATGTAATAAAGACCCTCACTAAAGATACTATAATCTATGTAAAGAAAACTGATGGGACACAGTATTATGAAGTATCATATATTTAAACTCTGCAGAACTCCCTAACTGGCACTTTCCTCATTTGCTACTGTGTCAGAAATACAGAGGCAAGCCAAGATATCTCTGGATCATCAAGTGCAGGTACATTGAAAAAGAAGAAACCTCCCCTACCTGACCAATCCTTCCTCGTAGAGATAGATGACAAGCGGATCATAGGATGTAACGAGAACATAGAGGCGCACATCAAATTTGAAATCTGAAATACAGTTGCCAAGAGTCAGTGACTGCAAATACCTTCCAGATATCATATCCAGTTGAGGAATTTCCACAGATCTTGAGAGCAATAAACAATTATCTACTGCTAACATAGGTTCCTGAAGCTTTCCCAGTTGAAAAGCTTCTAGATTTTAATCCATTCTCTCATTAGATTTTGCTGGTACCAGAAGAAGACAGACCACTCAATTGTTCAGATTAATTCCTGCAAACATTGCAGAGATCCTCAGGTGCGAGGTTGGAGGAAGAGAGAAAAGCAATTCCTAAACACACTCACCATCTATGAGCAGAGGGTTGGTGATGTAACGAGAAACCAGGATGTTGTCTTCCAGGACAATCTGGTCTGGCTACAGAAGAACAGAGAATCCAAGAGTGAAAAAACAGGAGGCTTAAGGAGTAAGATTACTAGATCAAACCCACCATATTTTCTAGCCTGTCTCTCCTAAAGCCACTTTGCATCACTAACTATGTCTAGGAAGGGAGGAAACAGAAACAAAATTCAAAAACACCACTGTCAGTCACAATATACTTAGGGTAATTAAATGTTACCCAGAAGCCTGGGAATGATTACACATACAAAAAAACTGCCCATTGAATCCTTCAGTTAAGTGCTCCTTAGAGTAGAATATAGATTTAACAACCACAGGACAATGATGTAAAATAGGCTGGAAAAAAACACATCTAAGATGCAACTTGCATTCTGTTTGGTTCTCAAGTGCTTAACCAAATACATGGAGGAGAGGTTTGAAGGAGCATGGAAGGAGTATGTAACTACAGTTGGTGAGGAAGTTACCAGTGAAGAAAACAACTCCTCAACTTGTGCTCTTTATAGCTAGATCCCAGGCTGCTATCCAACCTTTTTGCCTACATGAGTAATTACCTTCTATTGAGGAGGTTCAGGTCATATCAGGGGCTACTGCACCAGAAAGACATTACCCCTCTAGCTCAGAACAGAAAGCTATGTCTATGACAAACATACGTTGCTGAGTTATGGGATCTGTCGAGAAAACCTTTTGCTGTATGCAAGCCTTGTTCCTGCAATCAGTTTTAACTACTCATACAAACATTTTCTTGCCTTCAGTTTGCAAAAGAGCAAAGTGAACCCCATAATCCTGCCCCTCTTCAGTTTCGCATGTATTCAGCCATATCACCAGCATCATGAGCAGGAAGGCGAGACATACAGAGTGCACAAACAAAATGTGAGGGAACAAGTTCAGCTTCCGTGAGCTCATCACACAAAAGTGACATCCCTTTTATTACAGATCAGAGAAATTCAAAGGTTTCTTTTCTTGAGGCTTTTTTGTTGTTTTTAAACACTTTTGTGATGAGATTCTGGAAGACACTAACTCCCTTAATGGCATGACACTGAAGGAAACTGAAGTCTTTAAGCCAAACTAGCTGAAATGTTTCTGGAACAGATATACACAAAAGGAGACTGTATAGTCCCAGAAGGACTGTAAAGTCTCAGAAGAGGCTTTTCCCCAAGTTCGTGGCCAAATGCCATATAAGCCTGAGCTCGTTCTTCTCTTTCAAGCAAAGAAAAAGCTGAGTGCAGCTCTGGAAATACTTACCTCATACACTTGGCACATTCCTCCCTTATTTTATGGGAAATGATCCAAGTAGAGAATAGATGAGGCAATGTGACCCCTTCAGTGCAGGGGAGGCTAAAGGGGTTTGAGTGAGTGAAAACAAAATGACTCACCCATCAGTTTTCTGCTGAGAATATTTACTGGAATCCCCTCGTGTTTGGCTCCTGCCGAGTTGTATTTGTTACCTATGACAACCTAACTCCCTGCAAAGCCCAAAAAGGGCAAAATACACTATTACCAGCACATTGAATTCAAAGAACCATCCCCATTAAACCTCAGTAAGGGCACACTAGTGTTTAGATAACACAGTTCAAAGATGGATACAGATCCTACTGTATCACATAAGGTTTCCTTTTAACAGCTCTTCCCCCTGGAAAAGACAAGGACAGGAAGACTGTTTGAGGACTGTTTAGATTGTGCAGGGAAATAAGAGTAGTTCTGGGAATCTTCCCAAGGCCTGCAGCTTACTGTCAGTCACAAGGAAAGCATGAAGCAGCACAGCTTCCTAAAGTATCTCAGGGAACGTGAACTTGATCCTAATAAACTAGGATTTTAAGGTAGATTGGCAAGGCAAGCACAGCATACCAAGAAATAGACTGCTTTCAGTTACTCAGCACAGGCCTAGGCAGGTTGTGCCAGCTGCTCAGGACTGTTGAACTGCTCACCAATGTACAGTTGAAATCCAAAGCAGAGCCAATGTCTGCTTAGAAGTTTCCATGCCCCTTGTCTAGAAGCTGGCATAGTTTTGCACATAGTGTTACTGAAGAGCAGTCCTTCTGCTGAACACTTACATTGTTTATCAGGTAGACGCCTCGACCCCTGGAAGATGCCACAGGTTTCACTATCCATGGGCCTCTGTCCTTAGAATAGGTATCTGGTTGAAAGAAAACAGTACAAATATGAAAAATCTTCCATTTCACTTATTTACAGAGAAGCAAGAATAAAAAATATTGCCTATGGTAAAAGCTTTAAAGAACTCAATAGTGAGATCAACTCTACTTTTTTATGTCCTGTTTTATCCCTTGGGACTCACTGTAGTCATCACAGTCTCCCCCTGAAGCTCCTCCTGCTGCTCCAATAGATAAGTTTTTCTGCCTAGGCCTCTGGCACTTCTCTCTCCCAGATACCAGTCAGAGGTATCATTAAGTTATCATCAACAACATTGTACACACAAAGAAAGCTTAATTCTGAAGCTTTCAGCTCACATCAGTTTCTTGAGGACCTTACACAGGCATGGAGGACACAGAATAGAAACTATATAAAGAAATCATATCAGCCTTTTCCACTGTCTTTCCAGCTTCCTCCAATTTTGTTGCCCTAACTATTGGCTGAGATATTATAAATCATTCCCTTACCCCTAACCAGTTATTTTGCTTTAAGTCTGGGCATCATCAGCCATTCACTTACTGCAGAAGTCCTGGTACTCTGTGGGGAGGATGAAGGTCTGAGGTAAGATATGGAATGTCTTGAATCCATGGGCCAGCTGCATACGACTGACATTCTTGTATAGTCTGTCCTTTCGCGTCAGTTCATACGACCTGAAGTCCCAAAACAAGAGACCGTATCTATTTTTAACCCACACTAAAAATCCCCACATTACAGCAACCTTTCATCCTAGTTACTAAAGCATCTGTAGCCTTCTCAGATGCCTAAACCCTGACCTGCAACTACTGTTTTACTGTCTCTGTCCTATGGCCATCTTAATATCCATTCTCATTTGTAGCACTTCTTGCAATTTCAAAGACACACTGAAGCACACAAATTGTTACAATAGCATTCGTAAACTTAAGCAGGTAACAAATTACTATCTCTGTAAATAAGAACTTTAAGCCCTGAATACTTTACTTATACAACCAAATAAAAAAAATACTAGAAATCCAGTACTTGGGCTACAGACAAGCACTTCAACTCACATATTATTTCCCCAAAACCCTGAAGACTGCTCAGAATGAAGACAGCATGTGACACAGACCCAGTCCACTGGGATTTTACAGTATCATGCATACTCTACTTTTTTTTTTTAGAGATACCTATGTTCAGATTTTTGAAAACCATCACAAAGATGTTCAGCAAAACACATTTTCCTTACCTAGGGAAATGATTGACTTTCTGAATATCTGTAAGGGAACGCAGCAAGTAGGGTTTCAAGTGTGATCCTGTCCACATAAGATTATAATTGCTGCTACTAGGGTGCACCTAAAAAGCAAAATAAAAACACCAGCCACATAGAAACATACAACTAATGAAAAACACCACCACTTGTCCTACAGACCATGACCTTATGTCTATAAGAGCAAAGCAATTTAACACAATCTCCTCTACCCATCCCTACTATTAGGGAAACTCCTGTCCTAAGCTACTATACAGTGGTGCTGGGAAATAACCATGGCATACTTTCCTAAACAAATAGTGGATTTATTTTTTTTTATAGACTGTTTAAACCCAATTTGTAAAGCATTTTAATTTATTCAGGAAACTTGTGAGATCAATTCCTTAACTTGGTATTATTCAGAAGAAAATCTATCATACACACATCTCTCTCATATTCTCCTTAGCTGCTTATAGGATATTTTTTAGAGTAAGACAGGTGCTAGAAGAGAAATGTGAAACACTACATCAATCCTTCAGTGAGCTTGCAAAGGCTGACAGATTAAATCCTTTAGATCTTCTCAAGGGTGTGAGATAACACTTGAAAACCAAGAGAGGAAAAAACACATGACCCAACTTGAGCATCCTTTTTCCCCTAATTTTGCTTAAGGCTAAAAGGTACTCCTTGGAGAAAGCAAAATCACAACATATTTCCTGCCTTGTATGACAGACAAGAGCATGTTAAAAAAAAAACAACACAACACACAAGGGGGTCCACAGCAACTCCCTGGTTCTAACCCTGCAGAGTAAAAAAAACAAGCACAAAAAACACACACACAAAAAAATCATCATAATCTCCTCCCAGCTTAGCACACAAGCAGACTTGAAGCTCATTGCACTCACCTCATGGAATCCATGGGCAGCCAGAATGTTCCGAACCAGACGGCTGTCTGTTCGCACAATCTTATAGGACATGTGGTATCGTTCTGTTAGGAGGGAAGAGACAAGATGTAAGAGTCTGCTCCTGGGAAAATAAACCGCAGTTACCGATACTACCAAAGGAGAGAGAAGAGCACCACAGGACTCAGCACGGTACAGCTACACTTCATCCACAGCAGAGCAATCAAACAGTAGCAGCACATAACAGACACCAGGTGGTAGGAAATGCCCGTCTATCTCTCTGAGCATTAACTCCAATGGTGGCCTTGAACTGACTTGCATCAGGCCTTAGGTCAAGTATTTCTGCATCACTGAACCCTATGATAATAAAACACAGCACATCCTAACAAATGCCCAGGCACTTTTTTTTTAAATCAGCTTTTCATATAGACTGCTTTCTAACACTGCTTTGTAGCACTCCAAACATTATTTCAGCTCTCTCTTCTCTATTCAAGATTGGTATTCCTACATAAATGTAATCATGCCATATGCCCCTCACTGACATGGCTAGCTTATATGGCCACTTTTTAGATATTGAAAATTCAAAATAAAACCTTGAATTTTTGTTCACAGCTCATTCACCTGTCCTGATCTTCCAATAAATAACTACAAAAAATGGTAGAAAAAAAAAGGAAGGGAAAAAAATAAAAAAAAAAAAAAGAAAATCACTATCCAAGTAGAAAGTCATAAAAACTAAAGCAGTAAGCAACTCTAAGGTAGAAGATAGAGAAAGCAAGTAGGTAGACTACAGGCCAGTTGTCATACAGCAGGATGTGGTGATCCATAAAAGAGTTCAAATATAGTAGAGGCACAAATTGCAACTCTAGAATACAGAATCGTTTGAAAAATGCACTTTACAAATTGGCTCAAACTTAGAACAGGAAGATGAAGATTAGCTTAAACCTCAAGAAATATGTTTTACCAATAAAACTAAGTCTAAATTAAAAAGTAAGAAGTATAATCTGGGACCAAAGTCCAAGGAAATTTAACAACTTGCACTATTCAGATGTAGACTTGTTAAACCACCAAAAGCCTCGACCTCCTGAGAAAAAGCAGAAGTGACGCCACACTCCAGTTAGGACACAAGTTACAATTACCAGTAGCTTCTGCCACCATTTAAGCATGTTTTTAGATCACATGAAAAGGATCATAAGTTTCCACACAAATCACCTTCTCCAGCTCTTACGCCAACGAACCAGAAGCATTTTTGCTTGGATAGGATATTAAAAATAAGGGCATTAATTACCTAAGAAAGGGAGAAGCAAGAGAAGAAGTGTCAGCATCTTCACAAAAAGAAGCTGAGTAGATTTTAGCTTTTCTCCAACTCAGCACATCCAGAATGAGCTCCCAGCTGTACACACCTGCAAGTACTAAAACTCTTGCAATCCCAAGTGACTGTTCATAACAACTCTGCCTCTTCTTTAGAGGCTCTCCCTCAGCTGACACTAAACAGGCTTGGTCTCTCAACTCAAGTGCTGCCAGATCAGCAATCATTTTGCTTATGGTCTTACTCATAGTGAGGCTGTAGATGCAGAGTTTTGTTACTACACCTCACTACTGTTGTTACTACTGTGGGGCTGGCTGTTCTATTTCCCACTGAAATCCTCTCAAAACTCATTGCAATTATTTAAGTCCTTAAGCACCAAGTAGTGAATTTTTATTCTGGTCATAAGTTCTAGCATGGCCTCCAAGTTTGATTTGCAAGCAGACAGTGCAAACTCAAATCACATCAAGACCAAATGGAGGGACAAACACAGATACTTGTCACAACCCAAAGATGTGATAAACATTCACCAACTGATCAAGCATCACCAAACAGCTCAGTGCTCAGAGACAAGAGGATTGTAATTTCCTTCCTACCATGTTTGCTTCCCACCACAAATAGAAGGAAACATTCAAGTAAAAGATTTTCTCCTCATGCTTTGAGGCCAAAAGCCAGCACAGTTGCACCCACCTCCAATTAAGCGGAGGTAGCTGTCGTTGGTCAGAATGGCTTCAGCATGAAACACCAAGACCGGGATCCGTCTGCAGCCGCCACCAGTCCACTTGATACATGGATGATCCCTGAAATGGCAAGACAGTATAAGCAACTGCTGAGCCTCATACACACACTGATTCTCCATACTTGCCTACCTCGCCTGTGGGCAGGACACAGGCAAACACACTGTGGGAAAATAACAAAAGATGGGTGAGGACTGTAAACATGCTCAAGTGACCTGCAGCTGGGGTGTAGAAAAATACATGTATCAGTCTAGTCACTGTCTGTCCTTGTGTGTTTGACAAGTAGAACACACGTGTCCAGATAACACAGGCCTGCGTGATAGACTTAGACACACTCTATTGAACATGCTTGAGGTTCCTGCCCTGCTGTGGGAATGATCAAAGCACAGTGGTAAACTACACCTGCATGACTCCCAGAAAAACAGGCACAAACAGGAGGTTCAGTGATCCTCTAGCAAGGACTGAGCTCCACAGTGCCTGTATCCCTCTGCTTGGGTGCTGCTTTGGGACTGTCCCAGTTGGCAAGGTAACGAAAAGAAATTTACTGTTTGCATTTCAGCCATGGCTTTGTGGTTGTTCCTGTTTCAACACAAAAACACCAGGTGTGCTTGGTACTTAGCTATAAAGGGAATCTTCCAGATCACCATCTTTGTGGGTTGGTCTTGCCAAAATCAGAGTTCTGTTTAATTAGTATTTCTTTCACTGAGTGTAATCTGGGAGAAACCCCATTAATTTTGACAGTTACAGTCATCTGGATTTGTAGCCTGAAAACAGGATCTACAACTCAGGATACAGTTTCTAGTCTCCAGTTGAAGAACTGCAAATCAGTGCGTGCCACCTTGTTGTAATCCTGGACTCTGAAGATCACAAAAAAGCATGAATGTAGAGCTTGAGAGACTATAACTGGCCTGGCTCAACATAACAGATAAACTTGTGTGTTCTTCCTTTTAGTTTCTGCCAGATACAGTGGAATGTAAGCCCAGAATTCAAGCACAATGCCCCCAGCCACCCGCTCAAGCTACAAGGTTCCAAGATACACTGATAGTTCTGTCCAAAGTAGCAGGACTACATTAGGAACCATCATCTCCTCAGAGGAGTTAAGGACACACACATAAACAAATTCAGATCTGTTAAATACAATCCTAAAAATCACAGAAAGGAAACCTGTCAACTTCCCTAAGCAAATAAAACTCAGACTGCTTATTACTCACTGTGCAAGGAAACAGAAACTTGAAAAAGTTAACAGAAGGCAGAGAATGAGGGATTGGAGAGACACATCTTAGACTGACAGAGACACCCAGAAGCATTTGTCTATAGAACGTGCAAGATTACTGTCTGTCAAAGGTTTGGAGAACTACATAAGACAAAATTGTTCCTGCACTTAGAAGACAGGAACAGAGATAAAAGGGCAACTTTCTGATGCTAGGACAAGTTAGTACTCTTAGGTGTAACCTTGGTGCTCTTAATTAAGTTATCAGCCAGACAAATTAACTTCACAGCACTTGTACCTGCTTCTACCACCACTGAACTAAAAATAAAAAAGATAATAAAAAGAAAATCAACTACTGAGATGTAATTAGCTGGATGGACTGGAAGGGACTTGAGAAGCTTCCAGAATTTACATACAGGCCAAAGCCTTATGTAAGTGGGAAATGAGCTGAGGCAACAGGAGGGGAGTTTACATTAAGCCTGTCCTGGGGATTTGCAGTAAAGCTCAATCCTCCAGGTGACAGTCATTGATTCTTAGCATGACCCTTGGTCACTTGATGCAGATACAATGTTATAATTACATTCTAGGTGAAGGCAGTTCTGGAGGTTTCCTGCCATGATGGTCTGGCAAGTCCCAGGCAACTACTAGGTATGAAGCAACAACATTCCTCTATGTCTTAAGTTACTGCAGTTTGCAACTGACACTCAGTCACCATACACAACCAGAAGAAAACAAGCAGCACGTATTAAAGTCCAGCAGAAACTGAAAAGGGATTCCACTCTGGGAAAGAGTAAGGGAACAACTCTTTCACAAGCGAAGAGAAGTTACTAAACAGAGATGGAACAGAGTAGTAAGTAATAAGAACTGTAGGAGTTGAGTTCTCAGAAGGCAATTTTTTTAATAGGACATAAAATATTGCATATCAGTCTACAGAATAGTCCATTTCCATTCTCTGCAGCAAAAACTAAAACCAAGCAAAAAACAAAGCAAAGAACTTTCACTTCCTTCATTTTCTTAAGCATCATCAAGAAAGTTCCCAGGTTAAGAACATTACAGGAAAATATAAATGAAATGACAGACTTCAGAGTATCCAAGGAAGAGCTGCAACTCCAGCACTGATGAATACAGGGGTCTGTTAGGCTATGAATGTAGGTAGCATGCCCCATGCTTGAGGCCCAAACCCATCATCATTTTATAGATAGGAGGAGGGTAAGGAATGCAAGTCTTTGCAGATTAGTACAAATGCTGCAGGAAGCACAGGGAGATTGCTAAGATGTTTTTTCTCCTACTTACTCCAGCTCATCTACATCTTCCTCCTCCTCCTCTGAGGATGAGCCAGTTTCCTCCAGGTCTCGAGCCATCCCAACTGGCATTTCCCTTAGGAGTTTTCATACAGGCTAGTCTCAGTATCCTCTGAGACTCTTTCGGGTAGATTCAAGGGATCTTGTAAGAGCAGTTACCTGCAGCAAAGGATTAAAAACATGAATGCATAGCTGAGCAGGACAGCAAGAGAAAATTAGGTGACTTAACTCCCACCTCCTGTCAATATGTATTTCTCTCAGGACTACCAGCAAGCTTGTTACAGCCTATAAACCACCTCCCAGCCAGGGGAGTGCAGGAAGAAGCATCACCCTTCAGCAGATTACTCTCCCCCTGCCTCTGAGCCGCCCAGGAGCTTACGACTGAGGCGCGTCCCTGCTCTGCGGTGCCTCCGGCCGCAGAACCGCACCGAGCTGCCCGGGCCCGGCCCGGCTCGGAGGGAAACGCCTGCTTGGTCCCGCCGCCGGGACGGCCCCGCCGCCCGGGGTCAGTCGCAACGGCCCCACCAGCCCGAGAACGGCCCTCCGGCCCGGCAGCGCCCAGCGGGGCGGCTGGGGCCCGGCCCA